AGAGCCCAAGGCCCCAAGGCCCCAAATCAAGACATTTTAATATTTGCGTGGAGAGTGATTCGAACCCCTGACGTCCCACACAAATGTCACATTTCCCACCACTTTGACACTTTATCTAATTTGATTATTTCTTTCACATTTTATATTTATATCATAAATATATAACAACAATTAGTATTGAAACATTGCCGGAATCTTGAGATGATCCCTTCCAGTTTAGGTGATATTCCAACGTTACGGAAGATTCGGGTATATATGTGTGCAAAAACTACCAACGAATCAGCTAGGAAAATTAAGGACGAACAAGAAAAGATGGGCAACGAAGAGCTTCAAGTCATAATCACTGACAAATATTGGTCAGCGAGGAAATTTAGAAGGTAATAATGAGAGAGATTCTCTTTTTTAAACCTCTTTCGCATTCTCAGCTTGGTCCTAGGTATTTTATGTTATATTAAAATGAAACATAAAAAACAAATCCTACTGTAATTTTTGCTGGCATTGAAATTAGGGAAAATTTCATAACTAAGAAATTAATTATGGCACATTTCAAAAACAAGAAAACAAGTTTCAAATTTCCAAAATCAGATTTTTATTAAAAATTATTTATAATTTAATTAGTTAATTAATTATTTTATTAATTAAATATATTTAGGTCACAGATCTATACAATTTGGTCACAAATTAACAATATAATTAGTCACTTATTATTTTTTGGTCACAAATCAAAAATTTTATGTCACAAAATTTTTGAAAATTTTTTTACGATCACTTTTCAAAAATTTTGTAAGTCACGGTTTGTTTATTGGTCACAAATCCAAAAATAATTAGTCACGGATTAATTTTTAGTCACGACTTATCATATTATTGGTCACAACTTATTTTTCAGTCACAAGTTAAAAATTTTATAAGTCACATATTATTTTTAGATCACGAATCAAAAATTTTATAGGTCACAGATTAATTTTTCGGTCACAACTCAATAAATTATAAGTCACAAACACAAATTTTATAGGTCACATATTATTTTTCGATCACGAATCAAAAATTTTATAGGTCACGAAATCAAAATTGTTATTAGTCACATCTAATTTGTCGGCCACAAATCAAAAATTTCTTATGTCACAATTCATTGATTAGTCACAAAATCAAAATTTTAATTGGTCACAATTCATTTGTCAGTCACAAATTATATCAAAATAATTGGTCACAATTCATTTGTCAGTCACAAATTATATCAAAATAATTGGTCACAATTAATTTTATAGTCACAAATTAATAAATTACAAGTCACAAACCAATTTATTGGTCACAAATAACCAAAAAATTGGTCACAAATACCCCGTCCAATGCAAGTCACAAATCGAGAGTCACAGGCGCAGTCACCATCACCACCGCCACGATCCAATTATTAGTCACAAATCAACCAAACCGCCACGATCACCGACACGACCACCACAATCACCGCCACGACCAACTGTGACACCCAAATTGTGAGTCACAAATTGAAAGTCACAGTCACAATTTTCAGGTCACGAGTCCAATTATGTGTCACAAAATCAACCAGCAGTCACGACCACCGCCAATCCACCACAACCACCTCGTCACCAAAAAATCGTGCATATCACCACCATCGGCCCACTATTGTCAAACTCTGTCAATAACAAAAACATCCCCATATCCACCACCATTTTCATTACAAAAAACTACCACAAAAAAAGGACCAGCAACACCACCGGATCCGCCTTTGCCAAAGTTCAGAGCCACCATCTCAATCACACAACCACCACCATACCAACCAAAAAATTCCAAACCCACGAAAACATCCCCATATCCACCACCATCACCATTTTCAATACAAAAACCACCACAGAAAAAAGGACCAGCAACACCACCGGATCCGCCTTTGAAAAAGTTCAGAGCCACCATCTCAATCACACAACCACCACCATACCAACCAAAAAATTCCAAACCCGATTCAGTCGTCGCCGCCACTGCATCTCTACCCGTCGCCTTATGCGTTGCTCATGACGACGACGAGAAAGGTGAGAGAGACAGAATGTGTTTGGGGGATCTGCAGCCTCGCGTCACCATCACCTAGATTAAATCGAAAAATTAAAACGAGGCGGCACAGACCACAGCCTCGTCGATTCTATCTACTCCGTCCACATCGGGGCGGCACCGCGCCTCATTGCTCGCAGCTCCGCCATCTACAGTAAGAAATGCGACGCTGTGCTGCACCAATTCGACAACAGGAGCATCACGTTGCCGCCGTCGACGATGGAGGGAGGCGCCGTTGCGGGGAGAAATGTAGAGAGGGATGGTTGTGGGAGAAATGTAGGGTAGGGAGGCTTTGGTTGTTGGGAGATAGGATTAGGGTTTGTGATTAAAAATATTTATTTCATAAAAATATTAATTAGAATAAAATTTCTGACTATTGAAATGTCAAACCTCTGCCCTGATTTTAGAATTGATGATTTTAATGATAGGGTTTCGTGTAATTTCCACTTGAAATTAAGCCACTGTTTGGTATGAATTAAATTAAGATTTTTAGTATTTGGGACCAAACTGGGGCTAAGTTGATTCTATTTTATGAGCTTGTTGATGTTATTCTAGGAATTACTAAACCATAAGCTTCTATGTTTGGACATTGATCTATATTATTTCTGCATTTCACATTTTTTTTACCGTAAAATCGATTTTACATAAAATCCCAATGGTCACAATTTCACTTCTAGTTTGATTTAGTAGTCGGAATGATTTGATTGTTTAGCCCAAGTCCTCAGCTAATTGCATGGGAGGTCCTTCAACTTCTAAACTTGTTATCTTGGTCCTTGATTCTAGATTCCATCCAACTTCCATTCTTCTCGATCAAATATCGTCCCTTTTTATTGTTTCCTATTCAATACTGGTTTTTCTCCTAAAATAATAATCAAATACACAAAATTAAGTATATGCTCATAAAAGTATTTCCAAACCCCCTCTTTTGATTCCTTGGATAAGTATAAAATCACACTTATCGTAGATATGCAATTTCAAGAGTCGAGTGATTTTTTCAGGGGTAAATAGTGATTTAATCATTTGTATTGCACGTTTGTGTTCAGACAATTTACTAAAGGACAAGTGAATTCAATTGTGTGAGTAATATGTTAAAGATTTTAAACCAATAGAGATCTTGGCATTGATGATCAAATTTAGACATGTATTATTGATATGCACACTCTAGAGATTTTAATAGGGTTCGAAGACCTTAATAATCTTGCAGAAAAATTTGTTCTGTCTTAAAAAGGCGAACCCATTACTTTACAGACTTGTAATATTGGTGTTAATTATTTCAGATGCTAGAGGTGGTACGTTCTTGGCAAACAAGATGATCAAGAATCGATTGCATAATTGGAAGCTAGATCAATGGTTGAACGACACTTTGGTGGCGTATATTAGTACGATGTATTTGATGATATTGATAACGATAATTATACAATGTTTTCAAAGTATGAAAACTTGTAGGCTACAATTGTAGTGATCTATTGGCTATTTTTAATTAATACGTTGTTTTAGAAAAATTATATTTTAATTTTTAATCCTACAATGAAAAATGTGAGGCTTCGCAATCATATTAGGCTTGACAAAACCAATTATCTTCAGTGGGAAAACCAATTTCTGAATGTCGTCATGGCTAGTGGATTAGAAGGTTTTATAGATGGTACATCTACTTTTCCATCAAAGTTTGTTGTACAGCTGCTCATTGGGTCGAAATTTTTATTAACTTTTCAGTATTATGACTTCAAGCTTTTCATTTCCCATCTCTTCTTGTTCTTCCTGAATTTGCTTATCAGATTCTTAAATTGCTTGCTCAGACCCTCTACCAGAGAAGTTTCCCAATCAAGAATTTGCTCATAAGATTGTTGGTTAAGGGATTCCTTCAAATAAAATAGAAGAAGATGGTAAATTTTCATGTATATCAAATTGAAACAGCAATCTCTACATATAGATGTTAGTACGCCTTTCCAAGGCGTTACAATATTTCTAGAACCAGCCTAGTTGATACGAAACAAATACAAAAAGAAAATTTTATTATTCGAAAATCTTCCACCCTGTCTATCCCCAAAGTTCAAAACAGGAGGGGGTGTTTCTCCTTCTTCAGTATTATTATGTAATTGACTCTTCTTTTAAAGAGTTGATTGAATTGATTGACTTAGACGGATAATAATATACATGGGGGCGCCAACAATAAATGATTATGTAATTATACTTGCTAATGCAAAATAAGTATAACTTCATTGACATAAACGATAGGCATCATTTTTTACTGCTATGCCATCGATTTCCAAGTGACAAACTAGACTAAGAGCATTTAAACATCTGAATTCTTGAACACGCCATTCTTTCAAAAGATTTTCAATGTGTCAAATTTGAATAAGGTTCCTTACTATTCATCAAATTAAACTATTGGCTCTATCACATTTATCGACCTTTAGTTCATTCTTCTGGATGTACTCCTTAAGGGTTATCTAACATATTAGGCCAATATTGTAGATTACATACTTGTCCATGTAAATTGATTTATCAAATGATCTTGTAATTGTCCACCCTCAACTCCTCAAGTAATTTGTCTTGAATGTCCTATATTTCAAAAGCGTTAAAGCGTCCCTTGTGGTATCCAGGTTCGAACAAGTAGCCATGGACGTGTCTTCGATTTGACATTGAAGTACCAAGAAATGAAATTAAATTGCTTACAAACTAATTAACTCACGTCTACTCTTCTACAATATAAAGATAGCTTACTTGAGCTTGGTATTTTTCGCAACATATTCCAACTAATCCAATTTTGAAGTCAAAAAAACTGCAAAATTGTCTATCAACTCAAGTACATATTTTCTTTGATTAAATGTATGCTTTAGGAAAAAAATAAATTGTCACGAGTTGTGTTATCTAATCATACCACACTTGCCACGATGAAATCAAAACTTATCGCGACCAAACTACTGTTATACGCAACATCATGCACATAAGATCATGAATTTTATACACAAATCTTTCAGAAGTCTGCAGCTTCGATTTTCAAACCATATCTGGAGGAAGCATGATCCACGTCTTGAAAACATATTAAGTGCTTTCAAAATTGCTTTGAGCAAACCTATCAAACGAAATAACACGCAATCTAATAAATGTTTTCTTGATATGATCTGGAACCTGAGATGTTAACCGGCATAATACCTTAGACAATTGAGACATAAAAACTATTGTTTCGAAAGCCAGTGTCACAAGATGGAAGTACTCTTGACCTCCTAGCTAGACAGAGGATCAGGATTCGTCTTCGTCCTTATCTTCGTCCTCGTCTTCAACTTCAACTTCATCTTCAAAATCTACATAATCGACCTTTGCAACAGGAGATGCTCACCAAAACTTGTTCAACTGTTTCAGAATCTGAAGTCCTTTGTCAATGACAGTGTTGAAAATTGACCAGATCACCATTCTTTTCAGCTTCGGCGATTTTTCTATCAAAAGCTTAGTGACTGCCATCTCAGCAACTGTGCCTAAAATAAAAGCAGCTTCACTTTTTGAAGTCGATTTGAAGTTACATCTGCGTAGTCTTGCACTTACATAAAATCTAGAATAGGACTAGCATCAGCATTTGCACTCTCACAAATCTAGACAATAAGGCAAGATATCACTCAGCTTAAACTTTTGTTTTAAAATGGAGAATTGAAGATGTAAATTGTAATGGTCATATCCATCACTTACCTCGAATCTCAGTTCCTAAAGGTTGGGGGCGCTGCTGATCAAACACAAAACACAAGAGAGTTCATCCAATAAATTAAAAAATATATAAAATAACCTCTGATCAAGCACAGAACACAAGAGAGTTCATCCAATAAACTAAAAAATATATAAAATAACCTCAGAACTTTAAGGTGGATTAAAGTAGCTGGAAGCCTTTCTTGGACTTGACCTGCAGCCAAAATCTTGAAAGCAGTGGTAAAAGCATGATCTAATGTAGTTAACTTGACGATTACAAGGGATTGTATTTATAATCAAAAATACCTTAATGACAGTATAGTTCAAGTACACTTTCTGAAGGCCAGGCAGAGAATAAAAAAATGAATGAAGTTACATTTCCCATCTTCCAAAATATTGTCAACCACCCAATCATTATGTGAAGCAACCAAAATTATTGCAAGAAGAGTGAATTTCTTAAAACAAAACAATGATGTAGGGAAACATGTCAATTCAAAGTGTTTTAGCATAGGAGCATCAATTTCTAAGTAGTCAAATTTGTTTGAAACATTCAGCAACAGTTTCTCCAGTAATGGGCAGCTAGATATCAAACTTCCTAATACATACATCATAATCAATTGTCACGTCAAGCAATTCCAGCCAAATCATCCTATTAAATCCTTCAAAGCTTGGTGGAGGTGGATTGATCAAACAAGACAACAGCTTCAAATGTTTCAAATGTAAACACATAAATAGTGAAGAAGGCAATGTGTACAGTTCTCCGCTCTTGATTTTAAAGGTGAATTCTTCAACACTGTTCTTCCATAAGATATGTATCAAGTCGTCAATTTCTGAGCAATTTTAAGTTTCAGAATAACGAAGCTCAATTTTGTTATGGGTCCTTTACGAAGCAAAAGAACCTTGTAAAGGATCAACAAGAACTTCATTCTAGCTGATTCTAGGTTTCCCTCATATTCTTGCCATAGCGTCTCATCAAATCTCAGTTGGGGTAGTTTGACCCATTTATACCTCCATTGTTTTGAATACTTGTCTTTGCAGCATCATGTAAAGTCAAATGCATTAGAATGCTATCAGCTACATTGTCAGTAAGGTTGCTTATCCTATCAACAGGTTGGAACTGGGTAATATCCATTCTGCAGTGTTATTGAAACGACAACCCTTTAATGACACCTCACAAGTAATAAATATATAAAAATTACCTTAGAAGTAATAAGCATGCACACAGTAGATATTAAAGATCCAACATGAAGGTTCCCCATTTTCTTGCATTATTTTAATAATCCTACGCAAAAGTTTTATCATTTGTATTTTCCTTATTTTATATCCCAAAATTTGAAAAATTGGGGATTATAGTTTCTCAAGCATGGAGACACTTGCCCTCATGCGTTAGAAATTAAAAAATTAAAAAATATTGGACAACATGTGGTGTGTTGAACACATCTGCCTCAAGTCTCGGAAATTTAAAAATGATATATAAAAGAATATACGCCAAGTGACATATTGGTAGTAGAATGAGTGTCATCCTTCATAGCTGGTTAAATTACCGAAACATTCATATGTTACCCACCAGGAAAATAGAGACAGGTTTCACAATTGAAATTTACATTTGTACATGCCCTCGACAAAGTGGTTGTTAAGGGATATAAACCCACATCGAATAAAGATAAAAATATAGATCAACTTATAAGATTTTGCGCTACTCCTGTTTATAAGGTTGACCTTTTAAGATGGAATTCCCAATCTTAACATATCGAAGACATTAAGCTCTATCAAACAATTCGATCCGATTAAGAATAAAAAAAAAATGAGCATACGGATACCAAGATTGGTTTGCTCAAAAGAGCCACAATCTTGCGGTGGGCTTGTTAAGGAATATAATCTCATATCGAATAAAGATGTAAACTTGGACTAATTTATAAGTTTTGGACTACTTCTCTTAACAAAGTTAACATTTCAAGATGGACCCAAGTCTTAAAATGGTATGTTAAGGGATATAATCCTACATCAAATAAAGATGGGAACATAGACCAACTTATAAGGCTCTGGACTACTCCTCTTAACAAGATTGACCTTTTAAGATGGACATAAATCTTAACATGGTATTAAAGCTCATTAAGCTCCAACGAGCGATTCGATCCGATTAAAACTAAAAAATGAGTACACGAATTTCATGATTGGTTTACTCAAACGAGCTATCATTTTGCGGGGGGTATGTTAAGAAATATAATCACATATAAAATAAAGATGAAAATATAGACCAACTTATAAGGTCTTGGATCACTCCTCTTAACAAGGTTGACCTTTTAAGAAGAAACCCAAAATCTAAACAGTGGCAACAAAATATTCATGTAGTCAATCCCAAATTTATTGGGATTAAAGTTTAGTTTGTAGTCATAGATGCAAATCTAACATAAAAATGTGTACTGCTCTTCACATAGTATGCTTGATGATGCAGTAGTGCCTACCTGTTATAATTCGATGGTTAAACTAGTTGTGAATCCTGATGACAGAAAGTGTGCTAGGATAATAGTTTGTAGAGTGTTCTAAAAAAAAATTCTCTCTTGTATATGACCTAGGCGCCACTTTATAGGTAGAGACTACTTATGCAGATGGTGTGTTTCTTCATTTTAATAAACCCGTTGCTCGAGTTTTCTCGAAATTGAGTCTACCGTAAAATAGGTGATCGAATGGATTGACTCAGTCAGAGAATTGATTTAGATAAGGAAAGAGTCTGGTCGAATATCTATGTCCAGTCTGACCATAAGTTAAGAAACAAAAAAGAAAATCAAAATACCGTCTATAGCTACAATGTAACTGCTCAGAAAAATCTATTGTTTGAAAATTAGAAAAGCAAAATATCAAGGAAAGTTAAACTTAACAAACTGACTAATTGCTAAACTAATTCTATTTACAGTAGCCTACAGAGTTGAGGGTCATTTTTAGGATTTTTCTTCCATCCTCATCATCACCAAAGAAGTCAATCTTTATATAATGTATGTATCAATAGACTATGCATTTTCCATTCAACCCCACCCCATTAAAAGAAAGAAGGCATCTTCTGGTAGTATACACTACTTCTGAATCCTCTTTTATCCTGTCATAATACTAAAGATTTCACTCATAAATAAAACACTACACATTTCTACAAATATTTCATATAAAAAGTTAATGGGAGGGACCGTACAAAAACTGTTTCAATTTAAGAAAATAGAATCGTACCTGTAATGGAGAGAGTGATGGCACCGCGGCGGAGAGGGTTTTGGGTTGCAATCTCAAAGGAAATTAACGCGCAAAGGGGAGCTGAACCTTCAATGGTGGATTAAAACACTTGGGTCTAACTTAAAAGTTGCTGACATTTTTTGCTAACTGCTAAACTTGATTAAAATTTTGGGATGTACTCAGATTGAGATCGTAATGAATTTTAAAAGTCATTCTAAATTTAGATCCTTGTTTGAGCCCTATTTTTGCCAAGAAAATACATTTTTAAATAGTATAATGATGTGAAATGTATGGTTAAAAAATAAGGAAAAGTTTTAGATTTTCGTGTAATATTATTTTATTGAAGAATGTGTGGTTGAAATGATGTCAAAATATAGTTTAAGAATGTATTTTGTCAAAAAAATGGGGCTCAAACAAGGGCTAGGTATCTTCAATTGAGATTTTATTGGATTTTAATTAAATTCATTAAAATTTAGGTGTCCCCAATTGAAATTTTAATGAAATTCTTAAAAATTTAGATATCCTCAATAATTAGTGGATTTATAAAGATTTCATTGATAGAAGGATTTTAGAAGATTTGGATGGATTTCAAGCTTAAAAATACATATAAGTAAATCTTTTGAAATTTCACCATATTTAATTAGATTTTTTTTTTTTTGAAATTTGTAAGAATCTATTTAAATCCACCAAAGTCATTAGAATTTATAATCATTTAAAATTCATTAAAATCTTAGTTGAGAACACCTCCGTTAATTTTAAATTTTAAATAACTTCATTTTGAAATATAACTAAAGACCTTGTTTAGTAGGGATTAAAATCAGTTTTTTAGTAAATTTTGATAAAAGTCATTGAAATGTAGCTAAAAAGTTGTAGATCCCTTAAAATGTTTGATTAAAAATAGTTATTCACTTTGACTCAAATAAAAATCTAAATTTTAATTTGTATCAAACAAGTTTTTAAATAATTAATTACTTTTTTCTTAATTAAAAGCATTTAGCCCCTGGTTGGTGGGTATTAAAATCGAATTTTGAGTAGGTTTTAATAAAAGTTAACGAAATGTATGGTTCAAAAGTTGTGGGTCCCTTAAAATTAATTTTTGGTTAAAATTAGTTATTAACTTTGATTTGTATTAAAATCTGAATTTATGTATAAAATAGGGGCTCAGTATAAAAGTAACTTTTATTTTACTATAAACACAACATGTTTGCTAGTGAGAATGAAAAGAAAAAAGAATAACATACTTGGCTGAGTTTAAAAAAAACATAAAAGTATCTAAGATTTACAAAACACGTCATCTTATCAACGTTTTAAAATCGGACTGACCCCAATCCGTTCAACCGCAAGAATCGAGAATCGAGTCCAAAACCAAAACCGATCCAGTTAGGCTTATAAAACCTCTAATTAAAAATCCATCCCAAAACTAGTTAAACCGCAAAAATCACTAGTTCGATTCTGATTCAACCTTTTGATGCTTGACTCTCTTTTTCAAGTAATAAGTCGGGTCGATTCTTAAAACATTGCATATTACTGATTTGATATCTTTATTATTCATTTTATTTTGATTTTCAAATTCGCTATAGACTTGTATGAAAATAGGATTTACTTTATTGAACTCCTCGACAAAATCATACCAAATGGGGGTTGAAACATAGCTTCTTTTGATTATTCGTAAGCGCCAATTAGCTAAAAAATTACATTAATAATTTCTACTCTTGCCCTAGCTCGTCCAAAAGCTAGATTCATATCTATATTAGTAAAAAATATATTTTAAAACTATAAATAAATAATTTTTATTAATCATTTTTTTCTAATTCACTGTAGACTTGTATGAAAATAGGATTTACTTTATTGAACTCCTCGACGAAATCATACCAAATGGGGGCAGAAACGTAGCTTCTTTTGATTATTCGTAAGCACCAGCTAGTTAAAAAATCACATTAATATTCTCTACTCTTGTCCTAGCTCGTTCAAAAGCTAGATTCAAATCTATATTAGTAAAAAAAATATTTTAAAACAATAACTAAATAATTTTTTTTTATTAGTTTTATAAATAAATTATGTTATTTATTTGAACAATAAAATGAGAATTACTTTAGATCAAGTAAATGATTTTAGGACATGTTTAAAAATAAAAAATGACTACAAAATAATTATACATGTGAATATCACACTTATTTTTTGCATAGTTAACAAGCTTTTGTTGATTATTATATTCAATTCTCTATTTTTTTAGAGTGAATTATTCGATTCTATTCTCAGTTGATTTGTGCAATATTTTCGTGTTATTGGGCAAACATTTGAATTTTGACAAATTTATGATATAGAGTGAAAGAGGCAAAAAGAGGACTAGCTTTTGATGGTTTAAGTTTCACTGTGACATTTTGATATTGAAATTGAATATAAATTGAGTCTTTTTTTTTTTTTTTTTTTTTAAAGGGGGGAAGGGGGGGTTCCCAAGTATGCAAAATTATGGTTAAATTCCTGGAAATTAAATTCCCACACATAGCTCTGCTCCCTTAATCTTGAATGAAAATTTGGAAGTCTGGGGACACTTAATTTTGTGGAAATTTTGATGAGAAAATCGGACGGGAGCAAGACAAACAACCTTGGGCTCCCATTAAATTTTCATTATTTGAGAGAGATAGAGAGAGAGAGAGAGAGAGAGTTATTATTATTATTTTTTCTCTTTGTTAGTTTAATCCAATAAAAAATTTGTTCCCTTACACTACCCCTTATTATATTCATATTTTTATCAACTTGTGAATGGTTTGTGAGCTTGGAATAAAAATAAGATAATTTGTCAATTGTTGTATTAAAAATCATAAATCCAGTAGATGGTAAAAATATGCTTTTAAAATTTGTGTGGGTCTTGTAATTGAATTTCTTTGGGTCCTAACGCACTTTAAATTGTTGAAACTTATCAAGTGATGTGGTCGTTTCACACATTAAAGTAGGTTTAATTTTTCTTGAAAGAGAGATCATCAAGTAAATTTGAGAAATTTGACTGTCAGCATATGTGAAATTTGTCAAAGTGTAATAGTTAATGTTAAAAAAATGTTTGAATCGGTAGATTATGAGGATAGCCAATCTAATTGGGAAGTCTCGGCTCACTCATTACTATCGCTAACATCCTTACGCAAAAATAGAACTGTAAAATTATAAAGTAAATAACTTTTTTATTTTACGAGAATTATTAAGAAAATAAGTTATTAATTTTAACAATAAATTAGCACATGTTTAAAAGAAAAACAAATATAAGGTTACGGATTTGAAAATATATTTTTTAAATTGAAAATTTAATCCACAACAAAATCATAGAAACACTACGTGTAAATGATCAAGATGTCCATTAACATGCTCCTTTTATGGTGAATTTCAATGTGTATATTGTGAGTATGTCTAGACATAAGATACCTTAGCTAAAAAGTTGATAAAAATTTAAGTTTGAAAAGTCAACAATTAACTTTAATCACACATTTCTTAGGATCTTCAATTTTTATCAACTTTTCTATCACACATTTATCGACTTTATTAAAATTTACTAAAAATATAATTTTTAGCTAAATCAAATGGGGGCTAATTCGTATGTAGTAACATGCAATCCAATGCGAACACTAGAAGTCAATCTATGAATTTTCGAAGCTATTATACCTTTGATTTTACCCCAATACAAGGAATCCACATAAAATCTTAAACTCAACCAAACAGGAGCTAATTTGTATCCAATAGCATGCAATCCAACGCAAACATTAGAAGTCACTATATGAAATTTAAGAACTATATACCTTTAATTTTACCCAATACCAGAAGTAAAGCATTCGTCCACGGCTAGCAACAATTAAGCCCTTGTTTGAGCCACATTTTGGGGGGAAATCTATTTTGGAATAGTTTATTTTTAGAGAATGTGTGATTAAAAAATAAAAAATAAAAGTTTTCGATTTACGTGTAAAATTATTTTATTGAATAATGTGTGTTTGAAAATAAATTTTGAAAAAAAAATGAGTTTTTGATAAAATGGGGCTCAAACAAGGACTATGTGCTTCACCATTGCATTGTGTCTACTTGCTTTTATATTGATCTATCCAACGAAGTAAGGCATTAGCTCAAGAAGACTTTTCTTAGCCCCCGTTTGTTTTTCATTTTTGGAAGAATGAGAATGAAAACTATAGGCGTTATGGGTTCCACACAAGAGATAGAAATTCAAATTCGATGGCTTGATGTGATGGATAACGATCGTATTTTTCATTTTAATGATGAAAAAATGGAAACCAAACAGGGGCTTTAGACAGTTTGAAATCTGAGATATAGCTCGCATAATATTATGCGCCATTCAGATAAAAGAGAGAGGGGAGGGGGATTTTCTAGTCCCAAGAAGCCCACGTCATAAGATTTCAAGAACTCTTGACCTCCTTGAGCTAGTAGCTGAGCCAATATTAAGCTAAACTACTAAAGTTCATTTTCATCCAAAGCTTTAAAAATGACATTTGCATTTGGTGAAGGACTAATCGAACAATTCCAGTGTAATTAGTATCAATGATGACATCAAGCAATTCCAGTGTAATCAGCCTATTAAAACCTTTGAAGCTTGGTGGAGGACTAATCAAACAAGAAGAAAGTTTCAAATGTTTCAATAGTGAACACATAAACAGTGAAGAAGGCAATTTGCACCTTCATTTTCAAAATGAATTCTTTAACACCTTTCTTCCATAAGATATATATCAAGTGTTCAATTTCAGAACCACCTCTGAGTTTTGGAATGTAGAGAATGAAGTCAGCAAAACTGAATTCAAGGCTGAAGATCAGAACCAAAATTACAGCAACAGATTTGGTGAAATTATAGCAGCAAATCAGGAGCCTAATCACAGCGGCAAATTTGATGAAATACCAGCAGATCAGGAGCTTAATCACAGCAGTAGATTTGATGCAATCTCAACAAATCAGGAACGTAACAGATGAGGAAGATTCGATCCTGCCATTATGTTAAAATTGTATAACTGTAAAGATTGGTTGTAAAATTTCTTTATAAATATACTGCTGTACATATACAATTGAATTCAATAAAAACAGAGGAATTAATTCCTTTACATGGTATCAGTATAGCCATCAACAGACCAACGTCTAAATGTCTTCCTCCAATTCTTAAAC